TCAACAGTTATGTTATGGCACTTGCAGTGTTTTTTAGAGGGATACAATATGGAGAAATGTGCATACATTGCAGAAATGTACTGAATATGGCAAATAACTAATGCACATTCTGGAGAGGCTGAAACTTCAGCAGGGAGATCCTTCAGATGGACTGATAGGGGTTGATTTACTAAAGGCAAATAGGCTGCTCATTTTGCAAGGGAATTTTCCCTTTGCTTAGTGGTTGTGGTAAAAATGTACTATGCAAAAATTCCCCAACAGAAAAAAAATGTATTTTTGCTTGTACAAGATTGGATAATGGAAACCGGAAATGCTTCACCTCATTCACTGAGCTAAGGGTAAATTCCCTTGCAAAATAAAAATTCCCTTGACAAAGTGAACAGCCTATTTGTCTTTAGTAAATCAACCTCCATAGAGAGTAATAAACAGGTGGCAGGTGCTTCAGCTCACAACTAAAACTGATGATTTCCACACTGTGAGATATTTTCAGTAGAATTATTAGTTCTGCTGTTGCCATTACAAAGCCAAATGACAGTATCATGCTCACCAGATTGATTGTGTATATGATAAAATAAACCTATAATTGGGGAACTAAGCTGTGAGATTCTGCCACAATGGTCTCACCAGAGGGATTGGAGGAACAAAAGAAAAGTAAGAATGCAAGGCATGATTCTATCCACTAGCATCCATATGAAACTAACGTATTGGGTTGGAATTGAGTCAGACCTAATTGCTTGAAAAAGCATCAACTTCCAAGTAGCATATCCAGTCTATCTAAACCCAAAAATCTATATGTAAAATATTGCCATTTAGCAATCCCTAATGTGGGGGCTGCATTCGTTTTCTCTTTTTATGCTTTTTTTCCTTTATTTGCACCCAGTGATCTGGCCAGTAAAACACTTGCTGTCTTCACTCCTGCGCGTTACAGCACGATTTGCTGCTGGAACGCACTGGAGCACATCCTGGCCAGCTTCTTGAGTTCAGGGGTGGGGGGGCATGGTGGTGCATTAAAGTCAATGGCACCGCAGTCACGCCCGCTGCTTGCAGTGTGACCGCTCGCACGAAAACGAGTAGCGCATCACTGGAGCACATCCTGGCCAGCTTCCTGCATTCAGGGGCGGGGAGGAATGACAATGCATTAAAGTCAATGGCACCGCACCCACGCCCCCTGCCTGCAGTGTGACCACTCGCACGAAAACGCGTAGCACATCAGTGCCAGCGTTCCGGTCCTGTGCGATCTGAAAAAATAGTGCATGTATTTGATCCCCCTAGGCAAAACAACCACTTAACTGGTTCGGCCTCATCTGGAGTATGCGGCCCAGTTTTGGTCACCAATACTCAGAAAGGATGTCCTTGAGCTGGAAAAAGTCCAGCGGAGGGCAACCAAACTCATTAAGGGGTTGGAAGACCAGAGCTATGAAACAAGGCTGTTAAAATTAAATATGTTCTCTTTGGAAGTAAGGAGATTAAGGGGGGACATGATTTTCTTATATAAAATGTTCAATGGTGACAGCAACATTATTAACAAACTCTTTACGGTTAACCCCACGACAAAGACTAGAGGCCACCACCTAAAATTGGTGGAGAAAAAATTTCAGAACACTCGGCACAAGGGGTTCTTCTCAGTTAGAGCCGTTAAGGTCTGGAACTCACTGCCACAGGAGTGTGGAATCATTCAAGAAACTCTTGGACGATTTCCTTGGAGACCATAACATACAGGAGTACAGGTACTGCTAAGAGCAAAATCCCACATGGACTCATACACACGTAAACACCAGCTCAACCATAAACGCAATAGGTTGGACTTGATGGAGTTATGTCTTTATTCAACCTCAAATACTATGTAACCCTTGAAATGTAGGTAGAGCCCCACTGCAAGCGTAAGTATTTACATTCCTGGAGTTCTTCTTCAAGGATTGATCAGCTGCAATATAGAACATTAAGCTTTTGGGTTTAAATCCACTTTAATATCATTTAGATCTGCTGCCTTAACAATGGGATCAATAAAGACAGTGTCAATTTTGAAAATCTGCACCTGTCATTCATGAGAGGATTCCCAATGAGGAAAGTATGAAATTGTGTGCTTCCCCTCAGCTGTCAACATATTTGTGACTGTAAATGAATAACTAACAGCAGACATCCACACTCCAGATCTATAAGGCATTTAGCACAGATGATCAAAAACTGTCAAAACAGCTCTCTGAACTTACAACAAAGAAACATTCTATTAAAATAAGAATTATTCCCCCGAATCGCCATCTTTGGAAATTTCCTCACTACAACGTTGAATTTCCATTCTTCTTTTTCGAGGTGTAAACAGGGCAACACGTAATCATATCACATGGCTTTACGCTGCATACAGACATGATAACAAATGCATGACGAAACAGACCGGTGGTATAAACAGAAGGCGAGAAGAATGCGCAAGTCATAATGGATTATCTGGGTGACGTCTCAAGAGTGACAGCTGTCTGAGGCTAGCGTTGCCTGTGCCTGGATGGTAAATAGGGTTGTCCTTTCTCCATGGGAGAAGCAAATGATTGAGCTGCAAGCATCGTATAATCAATGGATAGCCGTGCTGGCATAGCAATAGTCTACTAAACATCTATCCAAGACTTAGCCAGCCTTTAAATATCCTTCAACAGTTACAAAACAGATAACAACCAAACAGCTATGCTAAATGTTCGTTTAGCCAGATTAGAGATTTCCGTGTGTACTAATGCCTGAAACAGAACACAGCTTTTAGCAGCTGAATATAAGCAGCTAACACTAAGGTGCTCAGCTGTCTACTCGGGCTATGTACCAAGCAGCAGCAGCATTTGTGTATGGATACTATTCCATGCCTCCGAAGGGACCCTTTGTAGTGCCTATGCAATGTATGAATTAAGTCACTCCCCATTTGTACATTCTTTTTTTTACTTTGGCATTACGTCAACAATTACAAAGCGTCGAGAACCCAAACAACTCCACGCATGCTGCAAAACACATCTACGGATAAATATTATTAATGATATTCATGATGTAATCGCACGGCAGCTGAACGGTGGGACCCTAGCAGACTGAAGCTGTAGTCATTTCAATACAGATCTCCATGGCTTTTAGAGGTGCATTGGGTTAGCCATGTTTTTAAGAGCTTAAAATATGCATCATCTAGCTCCATGCTAAAATGAACCATGCCACTGTATGTCTGAGTGTTTATTATTATTGTTATTGTTATTATTATAATAATACAGGATTTCTATAGCGCCAACAGCTACAGACATTTCTTTGCATGAGCTTCTGTTTTTCAGTACTACATACAGTTAAAGTTACAGCATCATTACGTCATCATTCTAAAACAAATTGGATTTTTTTTTTTTTAGTTTAAAGCACCGGCGAGCACAGCCGCGTTTCCATGCCAAACTCTGAACAATTACCACCTGACATTTACTGATTCTATTTCTGAGTGAGACATGTGAACGCTTGTGTTTTAAGAAGGCTTTGCTGAGCAGATCAGACTGATCAGAGCCAGGGTTTGCTGGTTGCTTTAGTCCTTTCTCACCATAACGTGTATGGTTCTACTGCCCTGATTCTATTTCTGTGATACTCAAGTATGATGTTACTATTGGGTCTATGGCTGGGTGCACACAAAGGATGATCACCGCACAGATCCTATTGCTTGCGATCAGCAGATCTACATTGCCACCAACTAATGTCACAGGGTCAGTACACAGTGGTCTCATTACAGGCACCGGTACACATTCGCAGATGGTGGCAGACTCCTCCAGAAGACCATGGCAAATCAACATGCAAACTTATACAGTCAACTCAGGCTACGTCCACCTTAATTGAAAATTACTGCCATAGGCCAGCCCTCTGACTACTTTTATGAGGCACTAACACTGATGTAAGTGACAGTTCTACATCATTACCATGCAGACAATGATGAACGTAGAGAA